CAGAAGAAGAATCGGTTCGATTGCCTCATGATGGTGATACCGGGGACCTCCACGGTGTACTGGGAACCAGGGGAGAGTGGGAATAAATCCCAGAGCGGATTTTATATAAGTTTTATATTTATATTCCCTTTTGTATATTTTATATTCCCTTTTATATTTCTTATATTCCCTTTTATATACTTCATATACCCTTTCATATACCTCATATACCCTTTTATATTATATAAATCTTTATTGATATATATTTTCACATTTGTTATATTTATTAATATTAAATATAATAGATAACATTTATATTAACATATTAACATACTATTGTCTATAATATCTGTATTTATAATATTTTATTAAGAAAATATTACATATGTGTATTATAACTATATTAATTTATTTCAATATACTTATATACTCTTTTGTATATTGTATGCATATCTTTATATATTTATATTTATATTTTATTATATTTATTAATATTCAATAGAATATGTATTTTATGATACTACTAATACATTATTAAATATAGTATCTAATACATTAATTCTTTTTATTGGCTCTATTATATATATTTATTTGTATTTTTATATATACATTTATATATTTTATATATTTTTTATATTTTATATATTTTATATATTTTTATATACACAAAAAATTTAAAAATTAAAGTTTTGTGTCTCCTGCACCGTGCTGAGGTCCATCTCCAGCACCAAAACAAAACCCTTTCGATCCTTTTAACCCTTTCTACCCCGTAATTTAAAACCGATACATTTTTAAAAATATTTTAAAAKTGATATAAATTTCAAACCAAGGTCTGGCCACACCTTCTGCGTCTCCTGCACCGTGTTGAGGTCCATCTCCAGCACGTGGTTCTGCAGCCCGGCCACCAGCAGGGTGTTGTTGTCAGTCAGCAGCAGGCTGTGCATGTCCTCGGACTCATCCATGCTGAGAGGTGACACGGGGACACCCTGACACTGCTGTCCTACCCCGGGAGGGGACACAGGGGACACAGGGGACGCTCACAGGTAGTCGAAGATGATGAGGCCGCCTCGGGAGGTGTATTTGAGGTTGGTTTTGGTGAGGAAGAGGACGCCGTTCTCCAGGCTCTGGATCTGGCGGATGTCGTCGCTGCCGTTCACTTGGAATGAGGAGTAGCGCTCCAGCGTGGGCCCGAAAAATGAGGTGGCGTGGCCCTAAAAGTCACAGTGGATGGGAAAAAGTTGTCATTTTTTCCCCAGTTGTCACTTTTTYCCCGGCTCTGATTTATGGGGGGCATTCCTGGCCCTTCTGGGAATTCAAAATTTTMCCCGGAAAAAATCCGGCAGGAACTGAAAATTGTGATGTGGGAAATGGGGAGAGGCTCGTGCACAGCTCCATCCAAAAACTCATGCAAAATCCATCCAGACATATCTCCATCCCAAAATCCATCACAAACCCAGACACAGACCCATCCTAAAATCCATCCAAAACCCTTCCAGACCCAGCTCCATCCCAAAGCTCTCCACACACAGCTCCATCCCAAAATCCCACCTGAACCCCTCCAGATACAGCTCCATCCCAAACCCAGACAGCTCCATCCCAAAATCCCAAAACTCATCCAAACCCCTCCAGACACAGCTCCAGCTGCTCCCAAAATCTATCCAAACACATCTCCATTCCAAAACTCCTCCAGACACAGCTCCATCCAAAAACTCATCCAAAACCCCTCCAGACATATCTCCATCCCAAAATCCCAAAATCCATCCAAACCCCTCCAGACACATCTCCATCCCAAACCCCTCCAGACACATCTCCATCCCAAAATCCCACCTGAATCCCTCCAGACGCATGTCCAACCCAAAATCCCTTCAGACACATCTCCATCCCAAAATCCATCCAAAACCTCTCCAGCCACATCTCCAGCCCAAAATCCTAAAACTCATCCCAAACTGCCCCCAGCCACATCTCCATCCCAAACCCCTCCAGACACATCTCCATCCCAAAATCCATCCAGAACCTCTCCAGACACATCTCCATCCCAAAACCCTAAAACTCATCCAAAACCCCTCCAGAAACAGCTCCATCCCAAAATCCCACCTCAACACCTCCAGACACATCTCCCGCTGCTCCCAAAATCCATCCCAAGCCCCTCCAGCCACATCTCCATCCCAGAACCCATCCCAAACCGCCCCCAGCCACATCTCCATCCCAAAACCCATCCCAAACACCCCCCAACCACCCCTCCATCCCCTCCTCCGCCTACCCCGTGGTTGCCGACCCACAGCATCTCCTCCATCCCAAAATCCCAAAACCCATCCCAAACCCCTCCAGACACATCTCCATCCCAAAATCCATCCCACATCTCTCCAGATACACATTCCCAAAATCCCAAAATTCCTCCAGATACATTTCCATCCCAAAACCTCTCCAGACACATCTCCAACCCAAAGTCCCTCCAGACATATTTCCATCCCAAAATCATCCCAAAATTCCTCCAGATATATTTCCATCCCAAATCCCCTCCAGACACATCTCCAACCCAAAATCCCTACAGACACATCTCCATCCCAAAATCCATCCAAAACCCCTCCAGACACAGCTCCATCCCAAAACCCATCCCAACCCCTCCCCAACCACCCCTCCATCCCCTCCCCCGCCTACCCCGTGGTTGCCGACCCACAGCATCTCCTCCATCCCAAAATCCCAAAACCCATCCCAAACCCTTCCAGACACATCTCCATCCCAAAATCCATCCCAAATCCCTCCAGACATATCTCTATCCCAAAATCCCCAAAATCCATCCCAAACTCTTCCAGCCACATCTCTATCCCAAAATCCATTCCAAAACCCCTCCAAACACATCTCCATCCCAAAATCCCACCTTAATCCCTCCAGACGCGTCTCCATCTCAAAATCCCTCCAGACACAGCTCCACCCCAAAATCCCAAAACTCATCCAAAACCTTTCCAGACACATCTCCATCCCAAAATCCATCCAGACACATCTCCATCCCAAAATCCATCCCAAACCCAGACACAGACCCATCCCAAACCCTTCCAGCCACAGCTCCATCCCAAAATCCCAAAATCTATCCCAAACCCTTCCAGCCATCTCTCCATCCCAAACCCCTCCAGACACATCTCCATCCCAAACCTCTCCAGACACATCTCCAACCCAAAATCCCTCCAGACACATCTCCAACCCAAAATCCCTCCCAAACCACCCCCACTCACATCTCCATCCCAAAATCCATCCCAAACCCCTCCAGCCACATCTCCATCCCAAAATCCATCCAAAACTCCCCGAAACACACCCCCATCCCCATCCCCTCCCCCGCCTACCCCGTGGTTGCCGACCCACAGCATCTCCTCGTGCAGGTCGAAGTGCGCGGCCGCCACGGGCACGCCGACCTCGGAGACGGCCGTGTGCAGCTCGCTGTACATGCCCTCCATCAGATGCACCGACTCGGGCACGGCCATGCCCTCCATGGGCACCCCCTCGGGGTCCAGCTCCACCAGGCTGCCCGGCAGGTGGGCGTCCAGCACGGTGTCCAGCGCCCCGGGGTGCAGGGGCGCCGCGTATTCSGCCAGAGAGGGGTTGAGCCCTTCGAAGTTCATGGTGGATCCCGACCTTGGGGA